GAAGGTGGCAACCAGATATGGTGGCTAACATTTCACTTGCTGCTGTACTCCATTAAGCTTATAGAAGCAGAGTGACTGGAATGTAGGAATTGTAGGAATGATAGAAATAGCATAAAGTCAATTTATGATGATCAGGTAGTTTAAAACTCTGATTCCATGCTAACGTTCTGGCATATTAAACAGGACTGAGGGCAAGCAGTGTGTTTATTGTTAATGGCTCGTGTCCCAATGTAACGTACCCTCTCCCTATTAAACTTTCATTGTTTTTCCTTGTGCTGTTGTGTCTCAGAGATCCGGACCACAACATGAGAAAACCTGACTGCTCAGTGTTCTGGTTCCATACAGGTAACTTTTGACAAGTTTTGCTCTGGAAACAAATTAATCCACACGTCGCTCATAGGTGGCTACAAAGTTTGCTACATATGTTTCCAGTGTGGTAACATATGTGGTAATCATACAGGAAGTCAGATCATTTTGATAGTGGCACAAACATCAGCATGTCTGTTGCTCAGCAACAGATAGGTAGACGCATCATACCTCAGATATGACATTTTACACTGAAGAATTGCTTTTCACTGAGTCTGAAAAACATTCTGCCTGGCCTGTACTCCGCAGTAATGATGCCCCATTATTTGCAAAAGATGAATGTATTGATAACTACAAAGTATTATGGTCAGATCATTTGTCTGAATATCTGTGAATTCACATCTTCTGAAAAACGAAGCAGAAAAGTTTGATCATTCAGAGTTTTGCATGTAAAATTGATAGGGAATTTAAAGCTGCAGTATGTAACTTTTATAAAAGTTTTTATAAAACTATCTATATCTATATCTATATTTATATATATATATATATATATATATATATATATATATATATATATATATTATAATATATATATATATATATATATATATATATATATATATATATCTTCACCCGGATATATATATATATATATATATATATATATATATATATATATATATATATATATATATTTATATATATATATATATATATATATATATATATATATATATATATATATATATATATATATATATATATATATATTCATATTTGTTGAAGCTGACACCATGTGGTGAAAACATGGTGAGAGACTGATAATCAAGAAAGAAAATCAAGCACCTCTGCTTTCTCCTGGCCCTAACTAGAAACAACCAATCAGAGCCAAGAGGCGGGTCTTAGCACTGTATATCACCCTCCATAGGGTGCTGCTGAGGTTAGTTAGCATGGTTACCAATGACAGCTGAGAAGTGGTTTTTCTGTAAGGGTAAGTTGTTTCTCCACCATCAGTGGGTACATGAGCATGATTGACAGCGTTAATACCCGCCTCCTGGCTCTGATTGGTTGTTTTTGACCGGGAGTTGTGCATTTCTGCAGACGGCAACCGTTACTCAGGGAGGAGGTGGAGGAGATCGATCTTTTCACAGATTATCTCTCATAATACACTGTAATCACATGGTGACAATTTTAACAAATGCGTAAAAACCTCATTTAAAAAAAAAACGTTACATAGTGCCACTTTAACAGTGGAAGCTAAAACTCGGAAGAAACTGTCTTTTATTCGCTAAAATTCTCCAATCTGTAGATTTTTATTCTTCCATGTCAGTATAACACCATTATGATTTTGTGTCTATGTTACATAAACATAAACTGGAGTTAGTGTAACTTCAGGAGTGAAAACTTTCGCATCTTTCAGTGAGTTGTAGATGAAAAAGAATCGGTTGAGAAAGTCGATGTCCTAACCTTGACTTTCTCCCGTTGTTGGGAGTGTGCTGGGACTCTGTGTCTTGCAGCGAGCGTGGTGGATGCGAGAGCCCTGAGGCAGACCAGGTCTGGTACAGGATCTGTGCGGTCTGGTATTACTGCCTGCTGAAAGGCAGAACAAGAACTGATCCCAGGCGGAGACACAATGGAAACACTGTGAGTCTGTGTTGAACCGAGACGTCCTTTAAGAACAAGGTGAAAGCAACACCTGAGGACAACCACTCTGGGTAAGATAGGCTTAATTTTCTGATCAACCAAAGCACTTTATTCTAAATCTTTATCTGTTCTTACTTCCAGGGTTTTTTGTGATTAATTTTGAATTAAAAAAACACCAAAAGCAGACTTAGAATTAACCTCAGGGTTCTGTTTGAGGGAGTTCCCTGTCCAAAGTCCAAAGCTGCTTTCCTGAACTTTCACATATTTCCTATGGAGGTATACGCTGTTCCAGACTGAAGTAAGGTTGCTAATTTCATATTGACCTCTTTCTTTTTCACATCCTCTATACCAGTGGGTTTTGTTTTGGCCATTTTACAGTTTTTCGCCAAATCTGCTTTTGTTTTACAACCAATTGAATGTTTTGAAAATGGGAATGCTCCCTCTACCTGGAGCCTGGGCAAAGCTAGAGAGGTGTGGTCAACTGCTCCACCAATACAAATCCTTTGTTAATTCTACTGATCAGGAGTGTCACAAATTACTAAGAAACCTTATTTATGATATTAAGAATTATGGCTTTCTACGATTCACATTTTAGCTGTAACATTACATCCTGCCAAGTTCGGTCCTTCTTCTCACCTTACACAAATATATATATATATTAGATATATTATATTAGATATATTAGATATATATTAGATATAGATATAGATACAGGCCAAACAAACCACGCCTCCTGCAGAAACACTGTGAAGGTCATGCAGACAGGGAGAGTCCTCTTCACCTGGACAAAAACTACCTCACCTTTGCAAAGGAATTGAAACAGACAAACCACAAGTCAAGCACCAAACACACAGTTCTATAAAACCTTTCAGACTCATGCATGTTTCATTCTTTATTGTTCTTTATAGGTTGTAACCTCTCAGTTACTTCCAAACCACAGAGGAATATTCATGTATTCCATAAAGAGTCTTATCTCTCATGCTTTTGAAAGCACAGCCTTCGAGCTGCAGATTCATGGCTCGATAGAGATCTGAGAAAGGAAAGTCAAGGAGACACTCATGTCTGCTACGGATGACTGAGTCTTCTCTTCAGGACGTCAAGATGGAGGCCGGCAGAATGCCACACAGACGGAGGTTTGTTTGGTTTCTCTGATTGTTTCTGCGAAATGTGTTCCCAGGAATTGGTGAACTGATCTAATCAGCTGCTCTGCTCTAAACATACCCTCCGCAAAATGTAGTGTAGACTTTGTTCAGCTCCGTCCTGCGCAGGAGTCACCTTGCCCCTGCAGAACATTCCACCACTTCCTGTCCAGCCCTCTCTTTTACTCTCACTTCCGACTTGGCTGCGTCAGGCCCAGTTCCTGGGTGGATGCTGAACATACTACGAAAGAAAATGAGTACCTCGAACTCCTTCCGCACCCACTGATCACCCGAGCGTTGAACCTGGAGGAGAGGACCGCAACGTCCTTCAAGGGCTCACCCTCGACTTCGGAGCTCTGTCAGTCTGAAAAAGTTGCATGCGTAAAGTAAAAAGGATCGTTCGGATAGACTGAGAAAATGATTTGTTTTCTGAATGAGATGAATTATCTTTGGAGAAACACAGGCCCTCCTCCACATTATCATTGAGCAGAGAGCTCATGTGCTGAAGGTCTCTTTACCAGCACTAACCCTGTTTTCAGTAACAACAGAACATTTCCATGTACCAGACACTGTGTACCTGCACACACGCAAAGAGAAAGAGAGGGAGGCAGAGAGTCGGATTGCAGTGGATGCAGTGTGCCCTCCAGATGTCACCAGTGACGGAAAAGTACTGTCACGACCTGCCGGTCCTCTGCTCGGTTCTGCAGGAGAAGGGATTAAATGATTAACACTCCCCCCCCAGTCGATCTGCTCACCTTGCTTTTTGTTCTAATGTTCTCTCAGTTCAAGAAAAAGAGAGGAGGGGAAAAAAATGCTGACTGCGGTGTTCTTTCAGCAGCTGCTGTATGAGCATAGAATGAGTTCACTGCACTAAGTATAGAGATGATGCTTCAGGATGCACACAACGTCTGATTTGCAGCAGGATAGTCTGAATAAAGTCAATGATGGAGATTTTAAGGGATTCTGGGATTGATTTAACAAGTTGTTGTTCCTCACTGTAAAAGTTACTCAGAATTTTCTGAGTAATCTAAGCAGATTTGCTTATTGTTCCCCCAGTGAACTCCTGGTCTGTCCGGACTTTCCTCCCTTTCCCATAATAATACAGTGAGGTCACTCCACAACTACTGATGATGCAGTCAGGGCATTACAGCTCTGACGACACTCCCCTGTCCATTCTGCTGCAGTACAGTGAGACTGCCATCTAGTGGTTGAAAACTGCACCTCATCCTGGGAGCTGGTAGTAGTTTTGGATTTTTCATTATAGTTTTGTTATCTATATCTAATTAGATTAGGTTTAAGTAGTGTTGGGTGTGGTTTCTAGTTTTTATTAGTTAAATGTGTTTTTTAGTCTTGGTTTGGTTTTTAGTTGTAGTTTTAGTTCTGTCATGCTTTCCCATCATTTTTAGGTGAAGATTTCAAAAAGGTCAGTATATTGTATTATGATTATGTGTACATCAATTGGGTAATTAATTCTGAACAGAAGATAACATTTTCACAAATTGCAAAATTATTTATTGGATGGATGGCATTGGGTTATGCAGCAGAAGAAATTTTCAAAGTCCACAAGAAAGTTCTCCTGTGAATAGAAGAACCAAAGTGAAAGTTTTAGATTGGCCCAGTCAAAGTACAGTTAAATCTGACTGCAGTGGGAAACCTTGGTGGTGAATCCAATGAATTCAGCATACAGTGGGCTGGAAAATATTCACCTGTAAGATGACAACAAAAATGGTGCATATTTTTGTGCATTAAAATGTAAGAGAGAGAAAACACCTGGAAAGTAATCTTTCACATCCCTCCCTTAAAACATTTGGTTTAATATTTTGAGAGCATTAACTCTTTTGGAAATGTGTTCCAAAAATAAAGATTTTGTTTGAATAAATGAAGAAATTTGCAAACAAAACCAAAATCCAGTTTCTTTTCACCATTCGTTTATTGGTTGTTCACATGGATCATACAACATATTCCACCATCATATTAAACAAGTACAGGGCGAAAATCCACATTGCTATATATCAAAAGTAAAAGGATGGAAAACCACAGTTAAGAAAATAGAATCACAGAGTTAACAAGTTAGCATGGAGGTCAAAGTTCAGACCTACAACTCCTCCCACAGTTGTGACGTTTACTGTCAAATACAATTACAGTACAAAGATCCAGAGATAAACGGGTCTGCAACTGATCACAGAATCGACAAGGAAGAGCGGTACGGAGAATCCATGCACACAAAAACTACCTTCATAAAATCCCCACTGAACAGAACGGCATCTATTTTCAGACATTTCTGATGAATAATAAATTCTCTTCGATCTTTATTATAGAAATATGAACATGATAGCCTACATGGTACAGCTTCCATCAAAATGTAGTGCTTTCCCCTCTCAGTAGCTGCAGTATCTGCATATAGATAAATGAAGTTCTTCGTTCTGAAATCATTTTACTCTTTTACAGCTGCTCATATCTCCATGGACACAATAGGCTCTGCTGAATGCAGCTCTGGTTATTTTAATCTATGGCCACACTGTCACTTAGATGGCTAAAGAGGAAAATCACTTGGCAAACACAAATAAGGCACAAGCACACAAACATACAAAGAATTTCTTTGAATAAATTCTAAAAAAACAAACTTGTTCTGACTTGGTTTTCTTTCTTGATTTGTAGTATTTTATTTTTGTGGTTTTCAAATGTCTTTAACACCCTGGTGAAATTCAGAAACCAGTATAAATGATTTCTCCACCTTTGAGGAAACTTTACTTCTGTCTAGAAATCAATCAAAAGGGCAATAAGGACATAAAACAGACGGAAAATGGAACTTTAACCAGGGTGTGTGGACTTTAGAGGAACACTGTACTTTTAAGAGTCGGTTCACATCACAGATAAAATAAGAACAAATCTATAAATCACTATGCTGAAGTTACAACATGATCACCTGATTACACACACCTAACAAATCCATTGAATTAATGATTTCTACATACAGTCTCTCTCACACACACACACACACACACACACACACACACACACACACACACACACACACACACACACACACACACACACACACACACACACACACACGAGCATGTCAGTCACCATGGCACCAGTGGAACAGCTGCTGCTTTTTCTTTTAGCTCCAGTTGAGCAAAAAATTGGTGTTTTTCAACATCACATCACAAATATTCAAAGGTTGCAGATGATTTTGGTGACATTAATTATGACTGTGTGATGGAAACCCAGGCGATCGCTTCTGTATGACTGTTGGTTAGAATGTATGAAGATTTCACTTCGACACTGAATGCTTTGGATGAGCTGCATAATAAACGGATAATAAAAGCTTCAGAGTCCAGCACAATGTAAAACAATAAAAACTCACAGGTCATGACGAAAAATAAATAAAAAAACTAATTGGAGCAACATGTTGGCAGGTATTGCAGGCGCTTCTGCTTCACACAGCTTTAGTGTTAAGAAATATTAAGTCTTTTAACAACCTTGATACATCCCACAAGATTTAAACCATGAGTGGAAGTGCTTGATTTTGCTCTAATAAAACCTAAGACTACAATTTATACTGAAGTTACGGATATGGTGAACAGAAGCCCAAAGGAAAGAGGGGGCACTATGCTGGACCCAACATGAAAGACAATATAAGCTTCGAATTAGATGGTAAAGTTATGAATAAAATTCTGTTTTGCGGGGAATTTAATGGTAGGCCCAAGAAACAAACAAACAAAAAAAACCCAGCCAGGATTCTGGATTTCAATGCTCAACTGCAGGCGAGGAGCCGCCGTCTTGCAGCCCTCTTCCTTTTTGTCATGCAGGAAGAGGAAAATCCACTAAGGCATATGTGGAGATTTAAAACCGTATGCACTTAGTTAAAAAACAACAACAAAAACACATTGTACAACTTGGATGGACTCCATTGGTGGCACAGCATGAAACGAGTTATAAGGCAACAAAAACGCATGGAATAAAACACTAGCAACATATGGATGTAATAGACGTGCTGAATATGCTACATGAAGAAAAACGTGTAGAAAGTGTTGCTGACAGTATGACTGAAGGTCTGTGGCAGCTGGAACTCATTCCAGTTACTGTCATGTACCAAAAGAAACGTGCTTCTATTGGCAATAAAAGTAAAAAAAAAAAAAAAAAAGAAGGTCGACACCATCCAATCATGTCTGGTCTTTAAGGGGTGATACTTTCCTACTCTCTACCTGGAGTTTACCAACTAGGTGCTGGAAGACTATAAAAACCAAGAGAGTATTACCAACAATAAGCCAACTGTATAAGGAAATATGGTGGTAATGTGGGATTAAATGGTGTATTCCTATGGAAACAAAACATTTCTAGTAAATGAAGAAGACAATGAATTTGCATCCCACTAGAAAACAGAAAGTTTCTTCACCACCTAATACTGCTGACTAAAGCGGTCACTGAGCTGCCAAACAACATGATATCAGGCTGGGAAGAAGGTCTTGAAATCCAAGGGTAGAATTAGTTCAATGTTTTGGTCCAGTCCAGACTCTACGCCAGCAGCTGGGTTTGGTATCTCCAAGTAACTACACTGAAGCCACTCCATGGCTTCCTATGACCACAGCACTCCGAAGATTGTCGACACAATTTCAGTACCAAGTTCACAATTATTTAGGTAAACCTGAGTCCTTCGCAGACACATAAACTTCCACCTCCGCTCTGATGGTCTCTCCTGCCTTCAGCTCAGAAATCACTTTCCTACAGCACATTTGGTCATGCTTGTGAGGCAGTTTTTTTCTTTTTTTTGGCACCAATCAAGAAAGGGGAGCAATAAACAGGGCATTACCATAGAGAGAGCAAATAAAAAAATGGTTTTTGTTCCATTTTTTTTTTTACCAAGATAATTCTTTGTAGTCTAACTCATTCATGCTTGACTCACATGGACACAGGAATGCAGCCTGTAGGCGGGATAATCGACAGGACAATGCTAGTGGACGAGTCAGAGAGATGAAGCAACATGCGATTGGTCCACAGTTTGTTCCTTCCTAATTGGTGGCGCTCATGTTAAAATGCTGCAGAGAAGGGAGGTCTCCATGGCAACACAGGCTGCATGAAAGACCTCAAGAAGAAGAAGGGGAGAGGGAATTAGGTGAAAATCAGATGCTGCTGGTCCAGCAGGGTTCTGGTGAAGTTGTTGATTGGCCCAATAGCACTGAGCGACATGGCATTGTCCCGCCCCCACAACAGGTTTGGGCCAAACACCACAGCCAGGTTGCTGTTTGTCATCTTATTCACTTCACTGTTGGCTGACACCTGAAACAGGAAACGCACGTTAGTGGGAGCTGGTGGACTGAAGTGTCTCAGAGTGTGTGTTGTACCTGAGAGTGTGTGTTCTCAGAGTGTGTGTTGTACCTGAGCCAGGAATGTGATGAGGTACCGCAGTGAGGCGTAGTTCTCCTCTGGGAGAGACTCCACCAAAGTTTTCATTACTTCTGCCTGATTATCACTGGATACAGCTGAACAAACCAAAGAAAGCATCAAACTCATTGGAATTATCCAGCAAATCTGTCTAACCAGTCATTCCTTAAACATTACAACCGCCAAAGGCAGGGTTGCTGCAACCCTTTTGGAGTAAATCCAAACAGAGTAAAGAGCAAAATTAGAAAAGCTGGATTTTTAGCCGTTTCCACAAAAAGCAATAAAGTCCTGAAAACATGTTAGACTGAAAATAAGCTTCTGGGACCCCTGTTAGTTTGTCACCCTCCAGAAAATGAGGGATTAGGTTGATTTATCCTCATTCTAACACCAAGTCTTGAACTTACATGTGAAGTTGACAATGTCATTGTAGAGCTGGAAGGTCAGCAGAGGTTCAGGAAGTTCTCGAAGAAACGTCTTTAGTATGACAGCGGCCAGGTGAATGTCCTCCATGTCTTTGAAGTTCACTGTGGCTCCTGATTCACAGTCAGAAGATGACAATCAATACAAATTCTCAACATTAAAGTGATCTACCACATCATAACTACAGCCGCAGATTGCCAGTAGATCTGGGTTCGATCAAAATTTTCTGAGCTCTGATTTTTGATCAAATGTCCTGATACCAGTTTTAGCCGATTCTGATTTCTGTTTAAGAGTTATAAAAAACTGAATATTAGAAACAAATTCTTGGATGTTTAGCATCTTTTATCAGGGATTAATACAGCTATTTTGGAATAGCTTAACCCTAAAAGGTGTGGATTTATGCATGCATTTCCAACCACTGGCCTCCAATCAGAGCTAAAAATCAGTTGATTTCTCAGTTCACTCCAGCCTTAAAAAACATGGTTCACTTAAAGTTGGCCACCAAGGCCTGCCACTCGTACCAGAGTTGTACTTGAGTTGGACCTCCTTCACCAGAGTCACATTGGCAGACCTCCTGAAGATCCCTTCAATCTCCAAACCTGACAGGAACAGAGCAGAGAACAGAAAGCAAAGGTTTTCAATGTGTGTTTTACAGACCAACAACCATCAGCTGTCTGTTCAGACAGCGCTGTTGTCTGTTCCGCTATATGAGACAAACAGCACTTCATTTCTTGTTACCTTGTTCTGACAGGAAGCTAATTGTGTCTCTCATCACTACAGGAACTAGATGATTATCTGGATCCTTCTGTCTCAGCCTAGGGCACGGAACAAAAAAAAAAAAAAAGTCAGCCATGAGCAAAACCGAAAAGCATTTATCTGCAGACAGAAAAAGCAGAGATTCTGTGTTGTGAACTTACATGACTAGTGAAACCCCAAACACCTGCTCAGGTAGGGGGGGGCTATGAGGAGGAGACATGGAGGGCAGCGAGCTGGGCTTCAGAGATGCTCTCAGTTTGTTGTCATACCTGATCCAGATCAGATGTAAACATGCTCAGTTTGGGACGAAGAACCAGATTCAAATGTCTGCAGAGGGTTCTAATGTCAGTCAGTTCTTACTCTCTGACGCGGGTCGGGATGACCAGCTGGTCACACTTGACCACGTCCTCCAGCTCACTCAGGTAGCTCACGTAGTTAATCTTCCTGCCGAACTTAAAACTACAACCAGGACAGAGAGACACTATCACAGACTATTCTATGTAGAAAAGATTGAAGTTATTGTTAACATGGTGGGAGGTCATAGAATGGAACAGGAATCATTATCAAAATTTTTAGTAAGCCTTATTCACACTACTTTGAATTCAAAAGCTGGAACAAAGTGCATTATAGCAACAAAGCTTCTCATCAGCAGAGGGCAGTATACAAACTTTCTCTAAAATGTTGACTATATGACAACTTGATGATGTCATTTATCATTTTACAAATTTCTAAGTTCTCATCACTTTAGTTATTACACCGTTTTTCTTCTTAAGTCCCAGTTTAAAATCTTTCCCTAAAAATCCAACCTGATGATTGGTTTGAAGAGGATCAGCAGAGTCTTGATGAACATGGTGGGATGGACAATGTACAGCGCTTTGATGTTCTTCTTATATCTGAAAACACAACCAGCAGATTTAAACTCAGCATTCTGTCACAGTAGGAGGATCTGCCTTTATTTATCACCAAGTGTTTCTCTTTTTTTTTGTTTCTAAACACACAGTCATAAAGAGAACCAGGGTTAGCAGGGTGTAACTAAAGAATTGTCTCAGTTTGTTGTTGGAGTTTTATCGTTTAGATTTAGGAGCTCTGGACCTACATTTGTAATTCTCCATAAATGTAAATCTCTTATAAAGACCTGAAAAACCCTGAACTCAAACTTAAGGCTGTTCCAGAATGTTGGAACCTGACTAGAAGTCTTAATTGTGATGGTGTGTAGGAACTTCCTGTGAACTTCTACAGGGATTCCTTTAGTGAACATACTTCCGATCGAACTCCCTGTATGCTTCTCGAAGCCAGCCGAATGAAGGCTTGTTTTCACTGGTCAGTCCGTGATGGAAGTAGATCAATGTGTAGTCGCTCTCTACGTACTGATCCAGAGTGGCTTTAAGATACCTACAGAAGAGAAACCACTTCATCATCAATCAGGGAGACAATCACCAGAATTTCATTCAATAGGGCTCTGATTCAGCCATTTTAGTTTCAAGGGTAAAATGAAACCAGTGATATTCAGTGAAGACTGGACAGAAAAACCAAACCAATCAGATTTGTCTCAGCCAATGATGTCCACACTGGATGTAGAAATAGATGGATGGACAGACAGATTAGACAATTTGATGTGCAAAGTATGGAGATGCGATTCCAGACCTTAAAATCCTTGAATTAAATTCCAGACTGTTCACTTTAACCACATGAATCTCCAACTTCTAGAAACATTTCTATAAGTTTCAACTTGTTGGTAAAAATGGACGCATCATTAAACCCCGGGGTGAATGCCGTTGATGTGCAGAGTTACTCACATCAGCAGCTTCTGATGGTCGAGCTGATGCTGCGGCGGCAACCTGCAGGCGCTGAACACTATCACCTTCCTGCCAAAGTTGTCATCTCCTACACACACAGTTCAAACAGCAACAATATTACACACACTTTACTTTAGCAGAAACAAACAAGCAGAACTTTAATATTAAGGAGCCTACCTGCAACCTCAATAATCTGATGCCTGGCTATGTCATAGAACGGATGGTCCCAGGGTAGGTGGGGAGAGCCGGGGTCAAAGCCCTGGGAATTCTCCGTCTCTGAAACACATGGAGCCACACGTTAATACAGATGTGTCAATATAAAACATCACCACAGGAGAAAAAACGTCTGTTCCACCTGATTTGCTAAGTGAGGGCTCATCAGGTGGCCACTGCTGGTCCTCTAGGGTGGAGAGCTTCAGCTGTCCTAACTGTGCAGTTGCAGCGTCTTCACCCAGATCTACCAGCAGCTCAGAAGACATCCCACACACAGGATGGGACAGCGATGTCTGGGAAACCTTCACACACCAAGATTTAGTCTGGAAGACACAGAGATGCCTCAGATTCTTAGCAACATGCTCTTCTCCTGCCATACTGTATTATCATCAGTCTTTTAGCTGATGATAATATCAGACTCATATGGGATTACAACACAAATAAACATTTTTTGTTTCGCACTTTTGCCAAGTTGGAGATAAAAACTTTGCTTCCCTTGAATTCATTTTTCAGGATAAATACTAAAGCGCTCATTTACTTGGTTGTTTTGTAAACTTCCAGATGAATAAAGTTTGACGTCTGTGTTCCATTAGCTTTCTTTTTTATCTCCCAGTAACTATTTCAAACAGGAAACGCCCAGAAACAAAAAAGAAAAGAAAACACAGAGAGTAGAGAACAAGACAAACATAAATACAATGTATAATGGCATCACACAGCTTCTGCTAAATATCATGATTGTTTAGCACTTTAGCGTTATCTGAACCAAAACTTATGATTCATGTCATCGCTTTGGTTTCTGCGAAATACTGTGACAAAGTAGCACTTTGGTGTTGTTTATGATTAACACATTAGCATGGTGACAATATAGCACGTCAGTGCTAGCCAAACTACTGTTTATGATTAGCGCTTCAGTATGAACTTCCATTAAATATAGCACTTTATTGTCAGCAGAACCTAACTTTTTAGTTCGTAATGCCCACCAATGGTCAAGTTAGTAAAAACATTAATTTTTTGAAATGACAAAACACAGAAAATGAGGAATATTTAATATTCTGCCCAATAACCATAGAAGAAATTTTATGCTATTTTAGTGTATTTAGGTCAACTGCAGATTTTAGTGACTCACTGAAAGAGATGGGAAAACTTGAAAAGAGGGAGACAGAGTGAAGAAGAAAACATGTCACTAACATGACATGATCACTTTGTCCAAAAACAAGGTGAAAATTGTTTATTGTTGTCAACTTTTTAGGCTAAAAATCCATTTGGTGAATAGTACGGTCACTGTTGAGGCTCAGTCCATGACTGTGTCCTGGGAGAGAACCCCGGCAGGAGAAAGGAAGTACGTTTCAGCTGAGTTCACAGAAAATCTGCTAATGAGGCTGATTTTCAGTTCCTACATTGTAGTTACTGGGAAACAATGACAGAATGATATTAATACTAGTTTCTCTCAAGCGATAGCTGAAAATCTGCTGAAAACTGGGCTTTGTTGCATAACAGCTGGATTATTCATAATCAAAGAGAAAGCAGAATGCCCAGCATATGGAACAGATGCTGGGAGAGAAACTGAACACTGCAGTCAATGTCACTGAAAGAAGGAGCAGTAGATCCGAATCGACTGAGCAGGATGTTCTAACATTCCGATGCTCCCATGGCTACGGGCGTGGCAACCACTCAAGCCTGGATGCAGAGAGATTAGGTGTAAAATGAAGTCATTAAAGGCACTGTAAGATCCATCTGCAAAAGTGTCAGACCTTCCATCTCCTGGGTGATGCCAGTAGTCCAGATTAAGTTTGGCAAAACTGAAGGTGGGGGGGCGGTGGACATTCGAAACATCTGCTAATACGTCCAGATTCAGCTGTCCAAGAAAGTTCAATCTGAATGGAGATGGAAAGAAAACACTAAAAGCTTGATACCCCACAGCTGTCTCCGGCTACAGTTCATAAGAAAGTTCTGTTCAATCGGCAACAGGATGAACACCTTTAACCTTCAGGGAAGCTGAACAAGGATAATCTAAACCCAACTGTGCAGCATAGAGGTGTCTGTGTCATGGTGGTCAGGATGACCACAATCTTCTATGTCATGGGGCTTCTTCTTGATCCTTGGGTTGCATTAGGGAGAATATGTTAACTATAAACTTCATGGTTGGGTGTAACACATTAAAATAAGCTTGGTGGTTATTGACCAAGTGTGCATTAATGCTTTATTGTGTTGCATTTGTGTGGTGAATGGAGACACACTAATCTGACATTGATAGTGGTCGGTGAAAAACCAGGAACGGCAGAATTCCAACTGCTGGGCCAGAATTGACACAGAGCCAGCCGCTGGAACATGGCTGAACAACTGCACTGTGCTTCCTCCTCTCTGACGGCCACAGCATGCAGCCAGATAAGAGCCTGGAGCAGCTCCAGCTCCTGCCAGTGAACCTGAAACTGCTGCATGCTGGATCTGCATCCAAATAATGGGAGCATCTCCCGCCTTCTTCCCTCAGATTAGCTCTGTCCCCACGCCGCACTCTCATCTCCCAACCCCCACATGTCGTTCCTTTATTCTCACACACACACACATGCACACACACTGCTGTTTGATGTTATGCTAGCTGACAGCATGTTGCTTTAAATAAACATTGCTAGAAACCAACAGTCAGTCAGCTGATTGCTGCTGACTAAACACACTCACCCACACAGTGAAATGCAGCTGTTTGCACACATTCTGCTCCTGAGTGAAGAGCGGAGGAACCGTAAAGGCTGACGAGGTCTTGGAGGTTGAGTGACGCCGACAGCAGCGGGTTCTTCTTTTCGTTGCGAGCGTGCTCACACAACGGGTCGCTGCAGGGCCTGCGAGCGCATTCTCACATGACTCAGCTATGCAGTTTGTGTTCAGAGGTGAAATCGGTGAGGTCCAGCTGCAGGAGGGCCGGAACCATTTTATCTCTTCGTTACTTATCAGGTTTGCTACACACTTTATTCTTTCTGGTCAGAGCTTCCAACACGGAGGCTGCAGCGTTATTAAAAGAGGTGGAGTTTTAGCTGATGCCATCATAAAAAGCCATAAAAACCCTGGGATGAATGGAGGAATGTTACAGGCTCAAAGAAAGATTTGAGTTTGTTCCACCCATTGTTAAAATCTATTTGTTCTTCAAACATGGTGAAGAAAAAAATAGCAGGGCTGTTAACAGGGACCAGCATTCCCAGAGTCTGAATGTGTGTCTTCAAAGAGAATAACTTGATGTTATTCCACCACTAAAGTCGAACCTGGTATTGGTGGGATTTACGTAGCTCAAATCCGTGAATACTTGAGTCTCATGCCAACATACAACTGACTACTTTAATAGTTCAAACACCAATTATTGCTTTGAAATGCATTCATACAGTGCTCAGTAGAGCTGCAAAACTCTAAAAAGTTATTTTCAAAGACTGAAACTTTCTATCGGAAATACTGCTGAAGAACACAGACAGCAGTGGTGTGAGAACTAATCCAGGAAGCCAGACTAATTATAAGCTTATGTCACCACAAGAAGCAGAAGAACAAAAAGGGAAAAAGAATATTCTCTTAAAAACGACTAAATTTATCAGCTTTTCACTGGTTCCTACTGGAATTAGTTTTGTTTGAATCTGTTTTAATGTGATGTTGAAATAACAGCTTCATCTTTGGTTTGTAGACTTGGTACTGTTTTCTTTACTCACTTGAAATCATTATTAGCCTCTCAACGTGCTGGTCCAGTCAATCAGTTGGTGACCTAATCACTCAGTCTGTAAAACCAGTTTGTTAGCTTAGCAGCTGTGTAAAGGTGATGTGACAAACATGTGAGGATGCGTAAAACTGTTCAAAATTTGAAATAAGAACGTTGCTGAAAGGCCACAGTTTTTGGACACAACGAGGAAGACATCGTTCCCCAACCATCTGCACAAACATGCACACAGCCTCTCTATGTTCATATGGACAGGCTAAAAAGGAGGCAGCATCATTTCTGCATTTATGTCTGCTGGGCTCTGTGACATACAGTCACGTTAACATTGTTTGGAGGTATTTTGCCTGTGAGGCAAAAGAGCAGGATATCATGCAAGCTGTGGCTCAAGGTCGAGTCGCTCTACAAACTCGGTCAAGCGTCTTACAAAAACACAGACTACTGTTTAAGAGGAATTTAAAAAGTTCAGAGTTCCCTTTCTACAGCAAAGTTTTAAACATTCTAGTCAAAAATTATAGCAACTTCCCCATAGCTGCAAATTATTCCTCTGTTCTGTAGTAAACTAATTGGTGGCGGCTAAAAAGAAATAGTAATAGTAACATGAGAAAACATTAATTATGGTCATTAATGTTAGGAAACTGAAAAACTGAAACTGGGACGTTGTCCAGATCTAATCAGAAACCGTGGCAACCTACACTGCTGTCTAACAATCAGAGAAAATGTAACGACATGGACAACGGCTGTTAGATTGTTAGTAACTAACTGTTCAACAATTGAATCCACACTTCCTCATGACTATCAACACTTCTACATGTTTTTATTTCGACCTAAATCCAGAAGCACAATTAATTTTCTTTGGTGCTGATTGGCCCCAAGAATGGAGATGAGGACGACTGTAGATGGTAGCATCTACAATAATTACTAACGTGCGTAATGATACATATTTAGGTATATTTGGAATTTGAACCACTAAAACAGACAGGTATTAGTCCTTGGTGAGGGGTGTGTCAAGAACCCCCTCCGTCTTTATTTTACCACCAGTACCAGACACACCACTGAGTTTTTGTCAACCTTTCACTTTGGGCTACAAGCAAGAAAAGACTATCAAATTTTTGATTTGATAGAGTCCACTGACCAGCCTATTGAGGAACGAGATGGTGATGACCGAGGTGATGAGGATGGAGGAAGATCAAGGCTATATCACAGAACACTGGACGTTGGAGGGAGCAGACCTCTGGAAGGTCAACAAAATGCAAGAGCCACAACAACCAAAGGTCACAATGGAAGTTATGTCAGCATAAGATAAATTCCATTGTGGCTTTTTGCTGTGTTGCCTTGCAGCTTTTGTTGATCAGTTGCAATTTTTTGCTGTCGAGTCGTGGTTCTTGTTGCATCTCTTCTGCCGCTCCATTGAAACTGGATTTTGTTGTATTGATTTTTTTGTTGTTGTAACCTTTGTGGTTGTGTTGTGGCTTTTGAGATTTGTTAATCGTTCTGGGACAATGGAAAAAATTTTCACTTTTACACAATGCAAGTGGTGTTGCAAAATTTTTGAACAATTATGGGGTGTTATTATTTTGGATCCAACTCTACTGCTGAATGGTTAAAAGTTCTGGGGGGATCTGAAGGTAGCCAAAACCAACCTAAAAACGATACATTAAAATATCATCTGGAAGTTCCTTTGTACAGAAAGCAGTCAGATAAAGCTGCAGCATGTCTGAGTAGATCAGCACCAACACATCAGTCATCAGAAGCAGCTGGGCTGTAAAAATGCTAAGTTAGCCACGTTAGCTGCGAAGCTACAAAGCCAGCATACCTTAGATAATTGACCTTTGTGTCATAAACCTGTTTTCACACATTCGAAGCAGTTCAAGGCTAACGTCACTAGAACGAGTGTAAATACGTCCAGAGTGGCTAAACCTCATCACAACAAACCAACATGTAGAGAAAATAAACAGCCTGCAGATAAACACAGGAAGCAGCAGGAGCAGCAAAGCTTGATGAAATATTTCTAATTCGACTTCACTCGGTTTAAATAAAGCAGTTTCACCGTTATAGAAGACATAAATGATGATTTACCGCGTTATCTCTCGGACAGTCGCTCTGGATTCAGCCGACACGGTCTGAGCTGCCTGACGTCGTTGTTTCTGTCACATATAAGACTCTGCGTAAACCACTTATCCGGTTCGTTTCAAAATAAAGGCAGGAAGTCGCCTTTCCGTTAAAAATGCACATGTCAAAATAAAATAACGTCAAACCAGAGAACTCATCCCCTTCTAAATTCAAGAACAAGTGCGCACTCTACTGTTTTTGCTAAGCATTTATTCATATTCGAACAACAGACCTTAATGTATTTTCATAGAATTTTATGGGACACACTGGTCTGTCTCATAAAATAAATAACAAATAAATGTTATGCACAGCCACTTCTGAATATCAATATTGATGTCTCGCCACAGATTCTCATTTAGATTTTGTTAGACCATTTATCACATAAATATCTCTATTAAATAAAGGCCAGTGCACCTCATAGAACCTTTAAAATAAAAATTCACCTCAACTGGGGTATCTCAAAGTAATATTTTCACCATATTGTAACTAATTTATAAAGCTCACAGTTTCTAAGTAAATATTTAATTAACAAGATAAATATTTAGATTAGAAAAAGGTTTCGAATTATTTAGGTAGAAGATTATACATTAGTTTAAAACACTAATGTTTGAAATATTTAACCTCCAATTAAATGTTTAGTTTGTAAGCTAAGCTAACATGTAGTTTACAAACTAAATATTTAGCTAACAAGTTAACTGCTTTTTATTTAGTTTGCAAACTAATTATTTCCGAATTATATTTAATTAGAAAACATATTTGATTCCATACTAAATAAAGTTAGCAAGTTTGTGTTTAGCATGTCAACTAAGCTTTTAGTTTGAAACTTAGTTGTTTGTCACTACATTAAGCTTGCTAGATGAATAAATATAAATAAAGATAGAATTACACAGTGAAAATATGACGAGCATAATATGAAAGGTGAATGCCAATTTTATTCTCTGTCATTGATGAAATTTTTACTGTCACTTTACAAAAACTGTAAATGCACCTTTATATTTTAAGCCATAAAAAACCGACTACGGAAACTCCTGCAGGACAATCTTATGTGCGGAAGTGCTCAGGCAGGTAAGTTAGTTCCTGGATGCGATGCGGATCAAGTTTATGGCTCGGAGAACCGGTTCAGAACCAGCAACAGAAGCGCTCTGACAAGCCGGGAGGGGCGTCTTTAGCCCGGCCCGACCTCCGCAGCGACCAGACCGCATCCAGAGCTCTCGGGGCGCCGAGAGGGTCATGTCTGCACTCGGGTTCAGTGGGAGCGGGAGGCGGCGGAGCGGCGGGCTCACACCGTGGCTCAAAGCCGCCTTCTCGGTTCTGGGCTCGGCTGTTGCGATGTTTGCTGTCGGTGCCTTCTGCGCTCTCACCTATCCCATCCTGAGAGGTAGACTCGGCTCTAAAGCTCTCTGATTTAGGGTTGTATGTCCTCACGCTGACCTGCTGAATGTTTCAGACCTGCGGGCGGAGAGACTGAGAGGCGAGAATGGGGCTGAAGAGAGGATACTGGGTGAGTATCCCAGGGTTCCTTTCTACGCATTTTCCCATTAAAGGCCATCAAGACTTTCATGTTCTAATTATATAAACTAAAGTGAACAGGAAGATCATGTAATATGTATAATTTTGTATAAATTGTACAAGGCCAACAGCAATGATCACAGAATGAAAATGTTTTTATAATTCTCTCAATTAAGATTGAGAGAATATAACAGTATATGCACCAAAAATAAATTATTTGTATTAGGGATGAATGTTTTTATGAGGATGTTATCAGCCAATATTTTCTGCATCCTTTTTAACATTTTTCATTTAGGAGCAGGCTAAATTGAAGAAGATTTCCACAGTGGAGAAGTTTTAGCAAAAAAAAAGTATTGGTTTCGGTTAGCGGCCAAATGAGTTTTGGTATATCGGCATATCGGATATTGACCAATATTGTGCATCGCTACCTCATAATTGATGTGTCTGATAATTTGCACTTGCACCAAATAATCTTGTACCAAGAGCAGGGCCGGTCTCCTGCAACTTTTAGATGTCTCTACTTCAACACATAATGAGGTCATTAGCAGGACTCTGGAGAACTTGACTGCACTTAGGAGGTGATTCAGTTATTGGATTCAAGTGTGTTGGACCAGGAAGACATCTAAGAGTTGCAGGACACTGGCTCTCGAGGACCAGGGTTGCCCACTCCTAACCAAGAGGCTCACACTTTCTGAATTCCCCTCCTAACTTTGGAACAAGTAAGCGAAATCCCCATAAAAGTAGTGGTGCACCAGTTACAGTGTTACGCTGACCTTACAATTCCATTTTTTGCCGATGGCAATTTTTCTGCCTGAAAAGTCGCTAAATATGGCGTCAAAATCAATAAACCAGTGACTGGTTACCTGTGTGTTCCAGGTTTTTGGAGCATCCTGATGATCTCAACTGGTGCCGGATGCATCTCCTGTGTCTTCTCATGGACTCTCACTCAGCTGGACTCGTACCAGCCTGGCATGGCCTTCCCCAGCCTCCTGTCTCTACTTGCTTTCAGGTACTGCAGAGTGAAGCTGCACATGTGTTCAGCTTTAATTAGTGGATGACATTCATTGTGTCTGTTTGCTGCAGAGACCCTTCCAGTCACGGATTCAATGTGATCTCTGGGCTAGCTGTTCTGAACGGCATCCTGGCCATGCTGACTCTCATCTGGAGCCTCTCCTGAGGCTTCGCTCTCAGCTGCACAGACACCTGAAGACAATACACTCTGTATGAGACTTTTGTGTTCATGCTTTGGATTCATATTTCTGTATGACAAGGGATCTAGCATTGGAGCCTTAGCAATGCTGGAGATTCCACTGTTGCAATTTGGAATATTGTACTTTTTTACCATTTATTACTGTATTCACATTCAATTCTCTCTTTTTATGAGTATAAAGAAATATTCATTTTGTTTCTTTTGTTTCCCTTGGTTCTTTTATTTTACTGAGATTCGGTGTGTGCTTCTACTTTTTATTGTGTAATTTTGGAGTTTCACTGATCAGTCATACGAATATCAGAATTAGGGTAGTTTTGTGCCCAAATATCCAATATTTCTTTTCCTTCTCTTTTCTGCCATTAAACACATCATTCAACTGCTGGTAAGTTGCTGTGAAAAAGTATTTCACATGTACTTGCAGGTTCTTTCTGGTTTTCTTTTCATTTTACAAAATTTAATATCAGATGAAGTTCAGTTCATGAAAAAATGAATTGGAATATTGTACTTTCCAAACTTTAAGTGTTTGTGATAACTGGCAATGAGTAACAATTGCCAGTTCTTTTAGTAATTTTTTAGACTTAGTAACTTTTTCCATTTAATTTGTTCTAGTTTCTTTATATCAAGAAGATATAAAGATGTCTCTGATTTTTTATTGTTTTAGTCTTTTGAATTCCAAAATGGGAATCGGCAAATCAGGCATGAAAGAAAATGAGAAGACAGTGTAAGTCGATGAGTACCGAGATTTTCTGGTAGGAGGAAACCAACTGAGGTTTAGTAGCACAGAGAAAACCAGAAACTCTTTGTCGCCCTCCCAGTCCACTTAGTGTTGAGGTACGGGAGTAGCAGTCATGCATGCCTGTGGTAACATGTTTGTTTTAACAGACGTGACTGGATTGAGGCTAAATCGAACAAAACAAAGATGGAGAATCAATGCAAGCCTGAAAGCCATTTTTGTGTTTATTGTTAAGCTTATCTTAAAGGGGCTACAGACTGCTAGAGCTCACTACGCTTCAGGTTTTGATCCTGCAGTATCTTCAATATTTCCACCTTCATTTTAATTGTCTCATTTTTGTTTAGTGCAGCAATTTCTCCTACAGCAAATAGCAGGAGAAATTGCCACTGCACACTGGATGTTTTTTTTGAAGGCATGAAATCTTCCCCCTTTATTATCCAAATGTAACAATCTCTCCCAAGGGACGTCTCCAAATATTAGGATTTTCATACCAGAAAGCAATTCTAAGCTATAACCTGTATTTTCATGTTGATTTTGGATCGTTTCTTCCTCTCCGAGTGACCTTTCAGTTCTTGTTGCAGCACCTGTTTCCCCGACTCTCCGACCAGCTTCTGCAGCATCTTCACATGACGTTTAACTTTGACATAATGTCATTTTTCAAATTGTAGAAGTCATAAACAGAGTGCAAAATATGAAGAAAGAATGCAATTTAAAACAAAACTTTAAAATATTTTTGCTAACCCTAACATACCAAAGACAGGGAAAAGTCTTATTGTACACACACACACACACACACCTGTTCTGATAACAAATGAAGCACAATGACCACATGTATGAAAAGAATTTATTCAATATAAATGACATTTTTTGTATAAAAAGTATTTGGTTCTTTTGCATATATTAAAATAATTGCCCTACAGCATATGGGAAGTGAATTTTACATTAACAGTAAAGTTTGTTCAACAAGTTTACATTTGCTTCAAAGCATCAAAAGATAAAAGAGAAATAGGCATGGAAACAGATTATAAGGCAAACACTGCAGCTCTAGCTGAGCTGCAACTGCAGCTCGTCTCTCTAAAACTAGAGATGAGTGATTAAAGGAGTAGTGTTGTTGTACATTCATATGTCAGATGAGCCAACAGAAACTACAGTCATTAAACTGCTACAGCAAGGAATTCAGCCATATGCATTATATTCTCTGATCATATCAAAATTCATTTGGTCGTTTTGCTTCTTCACAAATGAACTTCTGGCAAAGGTAAAACAAAAGGTTCAATATGTTTTTGTCTATAAAAACTTCTTATTTTGCCTCTTCATAAATTGGATCCATTTTTGTTTGAATGTTTCAGATCAGTGGTGCACTGATAATTTGCCTGGTCATAAAATTGGCCTTGATTTCCTTAATTTTAAGATCATGTTGGGCCAATACTTACGTGACGAAGTAATTAACGGTCTGAAAATCAGCTACTGTCCCGTTCAGCTGTCCCATGAGGGAGGAGAGACAGACAGACAGACAGACAGACAGACAGACAGACAGACAGACAGACAGACAGACACGCCCACCAGGTCACAGCTACACATGCTTTGTTAATGATAATCGCAATTTGGCAATTTTAACAGCTTTGATGCTTCATTGTAGGGAGGCCAGGCTTTTTAAAGATCAGTGACCAGCCTATTTCAGATAAAACTATCTTCAGATCACAGACAATCTGAATCAAAAGATAAAGCAGAATTTAACTGAGAATTTTATTTATTAAAAAGAAGAACGGTATGAACTAACCTGAGTCTGTTCTCACCTCTAATCATGAGAACTGGTTGTTCAACTCGTCATAAAAAATGTTTTCATAAAAATTCATGACACAAGGTGGGAGGTGAATACTTTTCACCTGAAATTCAATCATTTGGAAGCTGATATTATTTTTCTTCAGATTATGTTTGTCTAATTATCTGAAATATTTACCTAGTAGAAACACAATTACTTCCCCTTCCTGCACATTTACCTTCATTGAAGTATTTTAAAACAGCTTTTCAGTGCAATTCGTCATCAACTAAACAAAAACTAAAAGCAGCTAAAATTTTCAACGTACTTAAATAACAAATGACAAAGGAGTAGCGGATCATTTCAAGTTTCACAATGTAGTGTTCAGTGAAAACCTGCCAACGTTAATTGTGCTTCTCAGTACCACTACTTCCAACGAGGAAGTATACGTCTGTGTTAATTAGTGCATTACAGTCTACTGATTCACAGAAAGAGAAAAAAACACATACAGTAACATGAAGTCATTTTGGCTGGTAACCAACAGTAGAACACTTAGTATAGTACTGTAGTTACTTTAGTTTCTATTGCAGCCCAAAAACACTGTCTATTTATGCCAACCTTAATTTATCTAAAACATAAATATATAACAGTATCAGACAATACTTTTTATATATTAAATGTAACCTAGGAAAGTTGATGTCTATGCTAATCTAATCCATAACTATAATATACTCAGTGCATTTTATGCACACTTTACTCCCAATAACTGTACTATGTAGGGTCAGGAAAGGATGGATGGATGGAAGGAATAAAATAAGGTTCTGATGATGCATTTCTACAACATGCTGTAATTCAAGTAATTTTAACATTTAGAACTGAGACTCCTGAGATGCTCCTGTTCGATAAGCGATGGCGACAATTTTTATATTGTTGAGAAATAGACTGCAGTCACACTGACTGCATCTGAGACAATCATTCTGTAACTAAAAGATATCCAAACTCCCAAAGAAATGTGAAATATTCAATATTATGTATTCCACATAATAAATAAATTGTGCATCTTGTTAAATTGTACCTGCTGAGACAAAATGTAAACATAGTTGTGTGAAAATGTTTTATAAATAGCGAACTGCTCCCAAGTAAGAGAAATTGTACATTTCTCTTCTTTAACCATGTTTATGACAAACCAGTGCGTCATCAACAGGGTCAAAGTTCAAAAATAAAAATATGTAAACATATTAGTTATTTATAAATATGATAAATATGATAAATGTGATAATGTGACAAGAATGAATCACAGAAAACAGTATATATTTTGTTTTTAACCATGAACCATTTGAGTTGATAGACAGGAAGAAATTGCCATCATTGATAAAAGCTGTTTGGATATGAGCTCATCAGGTGATAATGGCTCCTAATAAAGCATGTTTTAGAGACGTCATCTGAATCTTGTTTTAGCCAACGCATTCATTCTCCCATCTGTAACAGTAGATGTCACAAAGCTGCTAGAAATGCCGCTGAGAGCCGCAGAATCTAAATAACTATTGGTTGCTGTTCATTATGTCATCAAATGCAGCTGAGTTAAGCAGTTTTATAAACTCCCTGAGTGGTCAGGAAATTAAACAACTTTAAACAGTTCCAGGCACTAGCGCCCCCAGGAGGCAGAAAGCTGGAACAGTTTGGAAAAGCTTTGGAAAACGAAGGGAAATGGAATGTAATATAAAGCTTTCAGCAATAATATTGAATTAAATAAATCATGAGAGATATAAGCACATTTTAATGTGCATTCTAATCACTGTGGTTGAAAAATGGTTTGTTTACAGGTTTGATTTTCCTTTTTTTTTCATTAAGGCATCCATAAACATCTTGCATTTAGCAATAAAGATAGAGTGCAAAATCAGTGTCCTAAAAAAACACTTCTAACAGTATTTTCATAGTTTAAACACCAAATGTGTTTAAACTATTTTCAGTGTTACATTCCACTGAAAATCTACAAATACTGAATCGGTAATAAGTGGGAGTCCACTGTATTACATCCTGTTAAGGCCAAAAATTTGAGCAATATATAAAAAAAACTTAATGTAGTTGCTTTTATTTCTATTGAAAAAAAATCCAATGACTTCTGTGACTCAATCTCAGGTCTGCACCACTCAGACCTGAATTACTCGGCTCAGAGGAAAACTTGGATCATTAATACTTTGGTAAATAAGAAGTTCAGGTCCAGCCCACTTCAGCATATGATGACATTTTGAAAGGCTCCCATTCAGTTTGTTCCCAGAAAATGATTCAAAGCTTTAAGGTGAATCGTTTACTGTGTCACGGCACCATTTAGAGGAGGGCTGGACTCTCCATTGGCTTCCTGCATGGTCCGCCTGGAGGAGAAGACTCTGTAGAGGCCAGCCAAGAGGAAGACCACCGAGATGACTGTGAAGTAACCTCCGTAGATGAAAAACTGAGGGAGTGAGACCAAACAGACGGCCGTCAAACGCAACCCTGGCATCGGCAAAGCTTTCTGCACGTCACCAAACAGCCGACATGTACCTGAGTGACAACATCAAGGCCGAGTCCGGCTGAGTCCACCACGACCACGGTGATCAGAGTCCAGAGCAGCAGGGCTCCGAACGTGTTGACTCCAAACACCAGAGCGTATCTCTGCATGCTGAGGCTGGCTGCTATCTGGTACCTGGAAGTCAGGGAGCAACACTGAAACCAAGCGCAGTTCATCTCCTCATCTACGTTGACGCGCTGCAGAAGAAGCTGCAGGTGCTTCATGTTGAAACAGCAGGAAGCTTCAGATGGAGCAACAGCTGCAACAGATTGCAGCTGTTGGGTTAGGGTTAGGGTTAGGGTTGCTGTTCAAACAGCAGGAAGCTTCAAATGGAGCAACAGCTGCAATCTGGATTCACTGAGACACACTTCTCCTTTCTGCCTTCCCCCTTTTCTTTCTAAAGGTCTCAAAGAATCGCTAAAAATCAGATTCTGATGATTCTTCCTTACACTGTGGTTTTCTATGCCATGTTAGACTCACGTTGCCACGGTGATGAGAAGCATGTAGATGGTCCTGAAGATGACATAGGAGCTGTAGCTCACCCAGATGTTCTTCAGCAGGGTCATGATGAAAACGCACGCAGCCATGAGGAGGGAGAGGACCCACAGGAGCAGTTCTCCCCAGTGGGTCCAGTCCACTGGGAGGGAGCCCACCAGCAGAGCAGCCAGAGCCCCTGCAGGACACGACACGGCTCAGACACCTGGACTCAGACACCTGGACTCAGACACCTGGACTCAGACACCTGGACTCAGACACCTGGACTCAGACACCTGGACTCAGACACCTGGACTCAGAATAACTAGGGATTGAAGAAATCATTTTTTTCTGAATATGATTTTGTTGTAGTGCTGGAGAAAAGTATTTACTCCTCCTCTGCGATTTGAGGATTGACGACAATCTAGCTAACTTTAGCCTTGTTGACATTTTGCACCTTTACAAGTTGAGGAAAAATCATCAAAGTGTGGCTTGACTGGTCAAAATCTTTTCATGCTGAAGATGGGGTTGTAGCAGTTAGCTGCTAACAATTTGTTGAGGGGTTGTTACACTGTTTAGTAATCACGTAGTGATTAAAGTGTTGTTATGGGGTCCTTAAAACAGCTTTCAATAACCCGCATGTTAAAAAAAATCTAATGGTACTTTCTGTCTTACGTCAAAAAAAAAAGATTCTACTTCCAGAATCGTACAGGAAGACTGCTTCATCAACAAATATACTGACACTCGGTATATTTAGTAAACCAGTTTAATAAAAGCCATACCATTCCACATTTAGCAATGGTTACCAAGAAGAAATATCTTGCTTCTATTTGATTTTGATTGGATTGACATTTGAGGACCACCGGTCTAGAAATTTATAAATGAAAGCAGAAGACGTACCAAGCAGCGTGGACAAGGTCTCTACGTAGCCGTTGTAGATTTCATGGTGTTGGGATGAATAGAATGTCTCCCACAGTGCCTGAGCGTAGCTGATGATCTGGAAGTAGCCGCATGTGGCCAGGGCCCACCACACCGACCATGCCAGCAGGGGGCGACATTTGTAGCACTGGATGAAGTCATGAAAAAGCGTCCTTAACACCCGCACAAGCCCACTGCTGCCACCTGCTGCTTCAGATGACCTGGACATCTGAAAGACGAAGAGTTCTTCACACAACACACAAACTTTCAATACATTGACGAGACGTGCAGATTTCTCACCATGGGCGCTCTGCTTTCTGAATCCTCTGCCTTATCAGGGCTGGGACTGCAGCCAGCAGCAGGTTCCTCGACTACTCCTGGACTCATGTGGAAAAACAAACTCCTCTTGGGCATGGGGAGAAACCAGGGGACGGCGAAGGCCATGGCGGCCGACGCCAGCGTAATGATAACCAGGTGCACCAGCTCCGCTTTGGCCAAAGACAGCAGGAGCTGACCGAGGAGTGACCCGGAGGCCGAGCCGAACAGAGTGACGCTGCGGCAGTAACCAGTCACCCTCTGGTAGAGCTCTGGCTCCACCACGCTGTAGATGTAGGAGTAGTAGGCCACCTCTGACGCTGTGGCTAACCCAAAGAAAAACTCCAACAGTTGCATGGCCAGCATGCCCTGGGCCTTCCAGAGCATGGCGTAGGTCAGTACTAGGCTGCAGGCCTGCAGTACCAACACCGGCTTGTAGCAGAGGTAGTCTGTAGCCAGGAAGACCGGGAGCAACAGGGCGAGGTAGGAATATGTCCAAATGGGATAGATTTCATTGACAACCTGCAGAAAACACAAGAAAGAGATTTTTACATTAGGAGAATTATACAAAGAAGAAACAAAAAGGTTTCCCCCAGAAAAGCTGCTAAGTCCAGTGTTAGGGGTTAGTGTTAGTTTTATACCTGATATCGCAAGAGAAACACCTTCCAAGAAATTTTACTTCAGTTTCATTGGACTTTTCCCAGAAGTCTTAGGGGTCATCAAGATGCTTTTTTAGTAAATGTGAGACAGGTCTTCCTGTTCTTGTGGGTCAGTAGGGGTTCTGGCCTCAGAATGCTCCCATGGAGGCTTTTACCTTCATGGGAGGCAGTCTTTCCTTCTTATTGCTTAAACATGACCTCTGACCTCAACTCAGGCAGGGAGGTCTGCAGAGTTTTAAATGTCCTCTGAGTGACTCATTGATTGAGTAAGAAGAGAATTTATGTAACATATGAGGCGATTATTCAGTTTGAAGGCCCAATTTTTAAAATATTTGCATACGTGAAAAGGCGTGTATGAGTGAAAGAGTGAGAAATTGGTGTATGTAAACCTCTGGTTTCAAATGTATTCCTTCAAGTTTCATTATAATATTTGTGACAATACAAGATGTACAAATATTTCTAATCCCAAACTGAATACAGAACTTAAAAACATGCACTTTATAGTATATTTGTATTTCATGCTAAGTGAATTGTTGCACCTTAGAGGGTTGTTAGTTTATTTTATGCTAACTGTACTGATTTTAAATATAAAGTTGCTAATAGAAATTAAAATCAACTCCATATTTATATTTTAGAATTTGTTTTCCACAGTGTGGCTTTGCCTCTGCTTTTGATATAATTAATTTCAACAAAATTTTAAAAGCTGTTAATTTAGTTATACTAATGAAAATGTATCTTTATACCAGTTTAATCAATATAGTGAGATAAAATTATTAGCGTGCTGAAAAGAAATCATACAAAACTTGCAATATTTACAAAAAAATGATGATAATAAAGACTGTTCACATTTTATTGCTTCCAAAATACCAAAGAAAAAATCTCCAACGAAAGCCGGATCAGTGTGTTTTATTGATATGCTAATTTGTCAAAACTGAAAAATCAATCAAAAAGTCAACCACAACTCACTGCAATTCTGACTCAAGACTTCAGTTAATTGCATAGCAAAAACTTGGTTTCTAATACTGGACTTTGTGGAACACCAAAAGATTTTCTTAGACTATGGTTTAGTATTATTGTTCAGTACTGAAACATCTTCTGAATAAAGTTTTAAAGCATCTACTTCGGTTCTATTTGGTTCTAGTTTAAGTCAAACCTTATGCATCAAAAAACCAGCAGCAGGATGTGAAGTAGAGCTCTGACCAATCAAGATCTGCGTTAGTAGAACAACACTCTGTTACACCACAGCACCTGTCTCACCACAGCACAGGAAATGGTAACAGTTTTGTAGTAACAACTGCATTACATATAGAACAGTTATATCCTTCTGCCTTGTTTTCTATTAGCTGCTACTTCTCTTCCTTTCCCGATGCAAACATAACATGATGTGGGTACATGGTCAAAAGTTGAACCATTTCATGATGCTGGTCCACATTAAGACCTGATGAAGGTCATTACTTAAGGATTACCCAGAAAACTGACATTTTTTGAGAGATTATCCTAATCTGAATGAAGTGTGTCTGAGCCTACTGCTGCAAACGGTACGACTACAACAGAAAAGTGCTGCTCACGCACTCACACTGGACCTGCTGGTTTTACACAATCACCTCCCAAAGTATGGCTTATTAACCAAAACAATTGTTTTTGTTTAGGTTGCACCAAAATAAAATTTTTAGCAGGAAAGCAAAGCTAAAACCTGACACGCGTTTAGTGTGTAAATGGATCAACCAACAACCTGTTCTATCTGCGACTTAAAGGAGTCAAACAAGTTCAGGAAAATTTAATGAAATTAACGTAAAATTCAAATTAATGACAAAAAAAAAAGAACATTACTTTATTCCAAGTGTTTCTGAAGCCAAAGGTAAGTGAATGAATGACAAGATTTTACCAGTTCAATTTGAACTTACACATTAGAGTTTCCCCATATATTATAAGCCTGGCGGGCTACCAGGCTTTCCTGGTGCCCCCACCAGGCTCAGCATTGCTTTTTAAAATGCTTGCATTTTTTAAGACTTTATAGATTGTGTTCAGGTACTATAGTATCTTCCAATCTTTTAATAAAACATAACTTTCAAATTTCATGTAAACTTTAACATTTTTTAACTCAAAAACCCTACGAGCAGCTGGAAGAATGACTGCCCTACCACCGGGTCGAGCAAGTTTTCTGGGGGGAAGCCTTGAACATCATGCACATGTTTCATCTTTTTTTCAGTTACTGTTGTATTTGAGGGCAGAAAAAAGTAGATTTTTTGAAAATTAAAAAACAAAATATAGCCTAAATTGAGTTTTTTGTTTTAGAATTTAAGCTGATGGTCAGAGATGATCAAAATTAAACTCTCTAATTGACTGTAACACTGATACAGAGTTATGTTTAAATCTCTTACAACAAATAGAGTAACACAGCATAATGAAACTCAACAACTGAAGGAACATGTGGATGTAGAAAAAGTAATTTCCTGCTCCATTCCTGCTCCTCAAGCCAGTAACACATCTGGTCAGCCGGATGGACTGGTCACTGATCTCGATGCAAAAGATCACATCAATCAACATGCAGAGATGTTTGTACATTTTCATTTATTAAACCATCTGTCAGGTAAGGTTAGTCTGGAAAAACGTCAATTCGGTGCCGCGTCGCACGTGGGTTCTTAAAAAACAACAGGAAGTTCTTTACAACTATAACTTTATACCCAGAGAAGCCGGAAGAAGCCACGAACAAACGGGACCAATTCTCCTCCATTTAGAAGGTCCGGAACAAGTCGGGTCCAAACATGTGTGTGGAAACAATCTGGAGAGTGACGCAAGAGGAGCTGTGACCCTCAGGAGGGGAACCTCACCTGGGTCTCCGTCAGGTTCTTGTCCGGACCCATCAGGTAAGGGGTGAGGAAAGGTTCTGACGGCCGCAGGCTGGAGAAGAAGCCGTACAAACACAGCATGACAGTGGGATAAACTGCAGACATCGCGGAGCAGCTCGCTTCGACCTCCAGCGCTTCTGCTTCTACGGTTTCTCTCACTTTTGACTGGACGCTGCAATAATCTGGTTTGAATGAATTACCGCCCCCAGCTGTTCTGAAGATGAACTGCAGCTGAAGGAGTTGGGTCTTCCTGAGCTTGAATAAAAACAAACAAATCAGTTTTAAACGATTCGTTTTAGAAAAACAGTTCATTTATATAATCTTTTATTTTGTCACAAATCAAAGTTCCACCTGTTTTATTGGGATGTCTGTTCACAGTAAAATCTTCAAACATGAGCGTCACACCTCAAATCAACTCAAACCTTTTTATGATTAGAGGTGGGATTTGATTAAAAAATTAATTCAGTCAATGGCAGAGCTTGTAATTAATTAATCACATTTTAATCAAAACAGAAAAGTGTTTCTGTTACTCATAAAACCATCTCTTTGATGCAGCTAAAAGTAAGTTTGGTATAAAGTGGAGCTAATGTGCCAACAAAGATCAAGTTAAGGACAAACATACGGCATATATACATTTATATAAAAAACACAGGTAACAAAAATGTCTTTTTCAGAAGAAAATATGAATGTTTTGACCTTAAAGACCAAAACTTTTACTAAAAACTCATCATTTTTCTTTCCCTTTATCCTGAGAAAACGTTTGAAAATCTTATCTCTAAAGAAAATAAGAAGCAAATAGCTTTCTATTTCACTCACATAAAGAGATATTTCCTTATGATTTATGCAAAAGACATTCAAAATAAATATTGATTCCAGTGCATTTTGTGGCTCAGATTTTGAGACAATACACCTTTATTCAATTACGACTTCATTAATTCTTTAAGAAAGATTTTCAAAAGAAATCTATTCCATCTTTAAATTTTAATATAATTAAATTTGATTTTCTTATAGGGGATGAAGAGTTAAATTGTGATAAATTTAATGCTCTGGCTAAATGTTATTCACAAATTCTGCCTTTAAAAAAATCACCTCCATTTTTAAAGTGAAAAGATTTTATGTAAGAGAGTGGAATGTTGGAACGTCACAAAAGATTGCTCAGTTTATCATGAGCTTTATTTTTATTTCTAAGGTGTGCCTCGTCATGCTATTTTGTTTGAGTTTTCTATAAAGACTGGAAAAAACAACTAAACATTACCATAAATCCACCTTTTAACTCAAAAGGTCACATGTAGCAATGAATTGTGGGTAAAACTTCACCAAAGTCCATAAAAATTTATTCAAATTTTTAACATGAAAATTAATGTTAAATTCAACGCAATTAATTACTCAAAACTAACGTCTTAAAGTTCCAGCCCGCATTATGATGAAATCAGCCAAGATTTAACCTTGCTCGAAGAGCAAATAATGAGGTATGAAAAACTGTCAGATATTTGTGGATTATCAAACCAGAATTGAAGGCAGTTCAAACATTCACAAGCACACCACAAAAGGATTTATTCAGCTGAACTTCATTTATTTTTTAGAACCTGACTCGTACATCTAAAGCAGTGAGGAATGATGAGTTTAAAGTTGGCAGAATGCAGCGGTAGAGTTGAACAGTTTATAGAGCCCATCAAAAACATCTGGACAGGATTGGACAGATGCACATCGGGTTCTCACCGAAAGCAAGCAAATTATACAATAAATGATTCATCACGTGGCTTAATACACCTACATCCACAGAGCATCAAAGTAACATAAACTGGTTTTATAGTTGTGTTGAGACCAAGCGGATCAGATGTACTGTTAGCTGAAGGACTTCTGCGCAGTTGGAACTACATTGTAAAGTGTCTTGTGTAGTCATATTCTATCGTGGGAATGACAGCCTGGACAAACTTTAGGAAAATCAGAAGATACCTGGAAGTCTTAGTAAAGGACAACAGTTGTAGGATGGAAGCACAAGAACACAGAAACACAGCAAACTGAACTAACCAAAGGAATATACAGCAGTTTGGTTTGGATCAAGAAACGTGGAGCAGTCGGTGTCACATGGTGTAAGATTAAAGGATACATATGCACTCCCAGCTCTCCACCTCCTTCAGCCACTGTCTCGATGATCTTTTTCATCACTTCAGCATGTCTGAAAACAAAGGTCAGATCAGTGAGGGTCTTATCCACGAGTCTGAGATACAAAAGTATCTCAACCTCGTAGAAAAATGTAAACAGTTTGGTAGTTTTTCTGGTGTACAGTGTGTAGGAACCGGTCCCAAGTGAATTCCTCACCTGCATGGGTGAACAGAGCACATGGCGGGTGGAGGCAGGTGGGGGTGGTTATCAATGGTGACCGTCTTCTTCACATGATCCTGGCTAATGTCCTCATACATCTGCTCCACAGTCAATGGCTGCCTGTCCTGGGAAACAAAGAGCTTGCCATCAATTTGCGTTTTGTCCGTGTTGATGTTTAATAAGAAAAAGCAGCCTCAGGCTATTGAATAAAACATTTTGATGAATGTTGGCAATTAAATGGGGCAATTAAACATTTTTTTTGCAATTTGTAGGTTCAATCGTTTTCACTTTATGTTGTAGAGTTCAATAGAGTTAGCATAACCGCACCAGAAGTAGAGTTGTCTACAGTTAAGCTAAACAGGCTACAACAATTAGCCTGTGCCTTTGTTTGCCCTACAAATCTATGGCTAAGCTACAACACTGTGTGAGGGCCGTTGTACATAAGAAATTTCCACCAAAAATACAAACATTTTTAGTTTAATTTTAAAGGAAAAATAGAAAATTTGATGTTTAAAAAGTCACAAATTTTCAAGAGATTAGTTTCAAAATTTCAGAGAATGTTTAATCTTTTTTCCAATCTATTCTGGCCCTAATAAAGCATTATACTAAAAAGATTCATGTGTTCTGTTGGGTAAATATTTAGATGAAATAGCAGTTTTACTGTGTGACCCTTCTACAGTTTGCCCACCTGCCTGTACCCCCTAAAGAAAATAATCTATAGACACAACCCTGCACACCTTGAGCGTTCAACTACATACTTCATCATATCCAAAGAGCCAGAGTCGAGGTGTCTGGTAGTATTTGTCGTAGGTGATGTAGAGGTCGTAGGTTCTGGTTTGGAGGATGGCGTCCTCACTGCCGGGTTCTGCTTTGGCTTTGGTTTCCACCATCTTGCTGGTGTCCAGTGTGGCCTGGAAGCAGGAGACAGATGGTCGTTAGCCAGACGGATTCCCCTCCGCCGACACCAGGAAACCCTCTGAATGTACCTCGTCTGTTTCCAGCAAGCCACTCTCCTCGTATTCTGGACAAAGTTCAAGAAGGTATCGTCAGAGCGGCAGCAGGCACTGAGATCTGACAACACACTCAGACATCGGTACCTTCCATGTCAGCTGCTTCTTCGTCTTCATCCTCCTCTTCATTGTCATCGCAACACGGTGCAGACGTGGCGTTCATGTTCTTGTCCTGGAAGTATTCAGAGTACTGAACACACCACATTTCTTATTGTGGTGTGTTCAGTGGTGTTTTGGATGCTGTGCAGTAGACCTTTTTCTTTTCTGACATTTATTAGGATGGGTAACCATAGTTTCTTTTTTTTTTTCCTAACAGTGAGCTGCTAATTTACATCCCAAAAGTTCAAATAATACCTGGAATAAAATCCCAGAGAAGTTAAAAAGGAGCAGAACCAAAGAGAAAGTTCAAACCATCTCATCTCTTCTACTGATCACAACGGACAAGGAGGACGAGAAGCAAGAGAAGGTGGAGAATGTTTTTATGAAGATAATAGTGCATCTACTACCTTAATAAAACATTTAGTGTGTTAGAAATTGGTTATAATGAGACCAGATGTGAAAAGGAACAGCAGAAATCCTGAAGTCAGCTCAAAATACACGCTTGGTTCTGTCATTCTAAGAAACACAGAGTAAAGTAGCTGACCTTATTGTTGTCCAGAGAAATCTCTCGTACTGCTTCTGTGACGCCTAACACACCTGCTGGGACACACACATAAACATCAGCCTTAATCATACTTTAGTCAATGTGGAAAAGAAACTACACAGACAGAACTGGAGGCTGGGATTCCCGGTGATTAGGTCCAATCAGCCACATGCTTATCAGAACTGGTTCTCCTACCCGAGTTGTGGTAGGTGTCCACCCAGCCGCCATCTCCATCATCCTCCTCTATGATGGCTTCCAGCTCATCTGAATACTCCATCTGTTTACAGCGCTTGTAGCATGGAACTGGAGGAGGAAGAGAAGAAGAAGAGTAGAAAATAGATGTTGAGAGCAGAAATCTGGGCAAACTGATTCATCTGGAGTTTAATCCAAAGAGGAAACAAAAGAGTGAGCTCTGAGAACCTAAAGACCTGCAGAAGGCTTAAACAACAACCAAGAAAAATCTCTTTAAACCGATAGCAGGAAGTGTGACTGCATGGGAGTCAGGGCCGGACTGACAGCAACGTTCCTGTCCTGTATTCCAGGTCAAAATTCCAGACTCAATGGATGGGATAATGGAAGGAAGAAACAACAAAGAAATTAAGTATGAAACAAGAAATTAAGAACAAGAAGGAAAACACAGGAGAAAAGAAGGAAGGATCAACAGTAGATGAGGAAAAAGGAAATGAGGATTTAAACCAGGATAAACTGGTACTGAATATTATTCAATAAACTAAAGAAAAAAAATAGAAACTAAACTGAAATGTCTGAACAGTTAGAACCAACTGTGCTCATATTTGGTATTCTGGAACCAAATATGAGCACATTTGGACACTAGGTTTTAGTTTCTTCACTGAGAAACTAAAACCTAGCGTCTGTTTTCTTTGAGTGACAACTTAAGACTTTAAATTAATCTCCAGATGGGAATGCTGCTTCCAGAACAAATGGATCAGAACGAAAGTGTGAACTGGACCTGGACTTACCATTCCGGGTCAACAGAAACTGTTTGTCCTGTGGCAAATATGGCTTAACCTTTACTTCTTCCCCAGAGGCCCTAAACAGAAACATTCATTCATATAAGGCAAGGCTACATCAGGAAACCATGGCAACAAGAGTTCATCCAGACGGCCAAAAATCTTTATTAGAAAACAACATTTTACAGGAAACCTGATTTTTACTCAACCTTCAGTTTCACTTCCTGTCCTCCTGGATATGAGCAACATCCTGGTTGGC